TATTGAAATGTCTTAGTTTTGAGTTTTTTGGCCTAATTTTTTCTCCGAGTCCAGTTAATAAGCACTAATCAGTCAATTTATTTCCTCAGAGAATGTACTTTTACGTGCTAATTTTGAACATTTTGATGTAGAATCCGGGGGAAAGAGCAAAATCAGTTGCTTAAGGAGAAAAGATATAGTCAAAGAATCTAACATGCTCTCGCAGTATGTATCTTGCAATGATTTGTTCAATGGAGCCAATAATAGTGAGAAATTTCAACATTCTGAAGAAGCCCTCATTCCTCCTGATTTATCAATTGACAACTTGGAGATGCCATCTTCTAGTTTGATTGAGTTGCATCAGCCGGATGCTAGCAAGACATCTGAGAATTTGGCCTTCCCAAAATCTGCACGGTGCTCATTGATGCAATTAAAAGAAACCGATCCTATCAGAAGTTTGTTCGTAGTAAGTTGACCCAGATTGAAGCAAAAATTGAGGGAAATAGGAATTGAAGGAACGTGTTAAAATTCTTAAAAATTTAGAGATTTCTTGCAAGAAAAGAATGGGCCAAGCATTCTCTCTGGGAAAGGATCCTCGTTTACAGTTAATTTCAGCACGAAAGTCACAAACTTCCAAGGATCTAGAGGTGATTCATTTTCTCTCTCTCTCTCTCTCTCTCTTTTGTCATTTTGAAGCTTCCATTTTATGCTCCTTCAACTCATTTTTTTTCCCTTTTTCTCTTTTTGATACCAAAAAAGAAAAAAAAAAAAAAGAGAAGGAATTATGGAAGCACTTTTAGGTTTTAAATATTAGATGTCCAAATTCTGATAAGAAATAGAAATTGTGAAATGTAATCGTAACTGTCAACCAATTAAGAAAGAAATATTAGGATCCAATCAAAAATAAAAAGAAGAAAGATGTAGGTAGATTTTATGCAGTCTGATGACTCTGATCCAAAGTGATAATGAAATCACTCAAACTGATTTAACTTATTTTGGTTTCTGTTCTAATTCTCTTTTTGGTGGGCTTGGATTCTTGACCCCACTGGAGGAACTCACTAGGCAACTGCACCTGTACGTGCAGTTCAAATATGCCTGATAATTAATTTAGCAGGAATGTTATCCATCTATTCTTTTATTTTGTCTTCTTCACAATAAACTGTATGATAGACTTTTTTGATGAAGTGTGAGAATAAATGCTAGATAAATCTCTATTCTCAGTTAAAATATTAACTTTAGCTTGTTCGTTTTGTACTTTGTGGCCTTAATCACTTCAATTTGAGGTCACATTGCTGTCTTTGCTATTGCGATTACATCTTACATGGTTATAATATGTTTCATTTGCAAGGGATTATCTTCTAAGAATAAAATGTCCACTACAGGTGCATGTAAATGATAAGGTCTTGAGTAAACATTATGGTCCACCAGAAAACTGTCAAGTTGCTAATTATAGAATGGCTTTAAAAAACTTCCCACTTTCATTGAATCGAAAAAAATGGACTAAGGATGAAAGGGAAAATCTTGCTCTGGGGATAAGACAACAATTTCAAGAAAAGGTCCTTCAAGGTTCAGGTGTGTTCTGTCATGAAGTCATCATTCATTCTATGCTAGCAAGTGCCAAATATAGTCAGTTGAACCCTACATAAATACTTGTTTGCCTGAATATCTTGTATGTGCACCTTGTGCATCATTTTGTCAGAGAGCCATTATTACAGGGCTAAATGTTCTTTTGTCCATTTCAGTTGAAGTTCAAAAAATGTCCTATTGGAATATCTGAAAGAGAGCCAAATGCATCTTACATTGTGTTTGGTTGGATAAACAAAGTCAGAAAATGTTTAGCTTATTTCTGCCTTATTCCAGACAAACACATTTTCCCATTGTTTGGCAACTAATGGAAGATGTTAAATTTTTTACACCTTGGAGCTCGTGTGGAAATTGAGGTTTAAAACCCTTTCAGGCTTAAGGAGTGAGGAATAGGTATGCAGCATTCATGAGTGATCATTTAAATTATTCCTTTTGGTTGGTGGTGATACCAGATAGGCATCATTGGTGACCATGTATGATGCCAGTGATTCAGGCATCATATCTGTCACTCCCATTTTAGTCCCATCTCTCCTATGTTTTCCTCTTTCTCTAATTTCTCTATTCTTTGTTAGGATATTTCATTGTCATTGTTATCTGAGTAATAGGTGTCAAGCTTTTCATGAAAGTTATTTATTAAATTCAATCTCCTGCATGTTGCTAAGCTTGCTTGCAGATACTTATTTTGATTGCATGAGATTTTGCTGCCCGATGAAGATATTAGACTCTTTGTATATTCATAAGCATGTCATATAGACATGTAATGAATAGATAAGGAGTTTATTTAATTCTTCAATCTTGATTTATTGAAAATTTTTTTGTTATTCCCATGTAAAATTTCAGACAGCTACAGGTAGAAACTTCATCATCTTTCTCAAGTTATTGATTTAACAGTGGTTCAGAGGGATCATGGAGAGATGGATGTAATTTGGATAATATTCTGGCATCAATCAAAGATCTTGAAATTACCCCGGAGAGGATTAGAGAATTTCTACCAGAAGTTAACTGGGATCAATTAGCTTTGGTGTATGCTCCCGGCCGTTCTGGTGCAGAATGTGAAGCGCGGTAATCCACTTTAAGTTTCTTGACTTTCCTTCTTGCTTTGAAGATTAATTATTTACACTTTTCTTGTTTTTGCCTAATGTAGTTAAAAATTATTTGGACTTCTTTGCATCCACGTATTCTGTCATTTAATTATTTACACTTTTCATTTAAATATGTTTTATCCTTTTTTGGAAGCCACTTGTTACACTTTTCAAGCAAGGTTTTAAAGCTTACTCTAATTTTGAGATATATGATGATTTTTTTGTTAATTGCTGCAAGCTGTGATGCTTCTTAAGCTGGCAAGTAAATCAAAGTTTTCTGGCATCCTTGATGTTGAAGATTGCATTTCTAGAATTGAATTATTTTCTTAAGGGCCTCATAGGTTTCCCCTTGTCATTGTTTGGACCGCATCAGATTTCAGATCGCACTGATTGTGATGCTATTTGACTTCGATGCAGCTGGCTTCACATGTATATATCTTGTCTTATGTGTTGATGGTAGATTTGTCCATTACTCCTATATTCTCTGTGTGTGTTTGTATCTTGTGTTGCTTTCATTTTGTTTCTAGCACAATTTGTGCACTTGTTGACTATTGTTTCATGTTCATTGGTTTCTCTGAAGCATGTGTTGTTCAAAGAAGCTGGCTTTGCAGATGTCTATGACTGACAATCAGGGACACCTTTACCATTGTTGGATTTGAATAAATGTGCAATATTTATACATATCATTCAGGTGGGAGCCCTAAATGAATTGTGCTTTACTGAGAACAGTGGTAATGAAGGCGTCTGTGGTGATTGGATCACAGATGACTGTCATGCTTTCATTCCTTATGTTCTTCCAACCAGAATCAGTGTGTTTGCATTACCTGCTCCCTTTTATCTTGATGCATGTGGTTACCCATTACAGGTGGTTGAATCATGAAGATCCCTTGATCAATCGTAGTCCATGGACTGCTGAAGAAGAGAAGAATCTTTTGTTTATCATCCAAGAACAGGGGATTGCTAACTGGCATGATATTGCAGTGTCATTGGGCACCAACAGGACCCCATTTCAATGCCTGTCACGTTACCAGAGGAGTTTAAATGCTTGCATACTGAATAGGGAATGGACTAAGGAGGAGGATGACAAGCTTCGTTTGGCTGTTGAAGCATTTGGTGAACGTGATTGGCAGTCTGCAGCTTCAGCTTTGACTGGCCGGACTGGTACTCAATGCTCTAATAGGTCAGTTAGCTGTTTGAATAATTGTTTCACGTGCATTTAATTTGAGTGGAACCCTTTTGATTAACTGATTTACTACCCTTTATTGAAGAAGAAAAGAGTGGCTAAACTGCTGCATAGGCAATAGCATAACTGGTCCCCTGCCAAAAATGTCTTGTTTTAATCTGTCCAAATATCACCCTGTTCTGTAATTGTAATTTAAAGCTTCTAATTTATCGTTTCTATCTTTCTGCTCTGCTGTGTATTATAAATGACTACCTTATCTTATTACCACACTGGTATGGCTCATATATTAAATCATTCATGTTCAGACATCTGTATTGTTATATGCAGATGGAAAAAATCACTTCATCCAACCAGGCAAAGAGTGGGCAGATGGTCTGCAGATGAAGACAAACACTTGAAAGTATCAGTAATGCTTTTTGGACCAAAAAACTGGAAAAAGATTGCTGAATTTATTCCTGGCCGAACTCAGGTGCAGTGCAGAGAAAGGTATTGTAGAAATCTTAAAGGCAGTTCAGATGTTACTTTAATAGAATTGTTATGTAATCTTCTCCTCTGTTGGCAGGTGGGTTAATTCTTTAGATCCTTCCTTAAGTCGAAGTAAGTGGAGTGAAGAAGAGGATTTAAGGTTAGAAGCAGCAATTGAAGAACATGGATACTGCTGGTCAAAAGTTGCTGCATGCATGCCTTCACGAACTGATAACCAGTGTTGGAGGTACATATGAAGTAGTGCACTTTGGCTGGTTTATTAAAGCCTCTCCATTTCTTTTTTTTTTTTTTGGGTTTCGTATCCTAAGTTGGTGAGTTCTTCGTTTTTCCAAATTTCCTGGCAACTGCATGTTATCTGTTCCATAACCAGGAGGTGGAAGGTATTGCACCCAGATCGAATGCCTTTGCTTCAAGAAGCTAGAAGGATTTGGAAATCTACTTGTGTAAGAACTTTGTAGGTAGGGAGTCTGAGCGTCCTGCCCTTGGTCCTGATGATTTCATTCCACTGCCAATGGTTGATTCAACTTTTGAACTTGAAAATATGAATGTGCCAAATAAATGTAAAAGAAAGCAAAGGTATATTTTCAAACACTTCTATATTCATCCTTTTTTGTGCCTAGTTGTGTCCCTTGTATCACTAGCTGTACTAATTCTTCCTGTTTGATTCATCTTTTGTACACACAGAAATGGTACAGCGTACAAAGGAAAATGACACAGCACCATGGTAAACTGCCTTTCCTAGCTCCGCTTTTAACAGATTAGAAAGTTCTTTTATAGTTTTATTTTTTATTTTTTTTTATTTTTTTACAGAAGTATCTGTTTCAGTCAGTTTTGCCATTCTATTTAAAGTTCTTCTCTTTCTTTTGCTTGAACAGCCAAAATGGAAATTCCATTACCAATGGGAATGCAAGTGGAACTCCAACCCAGCACAAATAAACTTTACATGTTAAACCCTGCTAATGAAAAATCCAGTTAAAGCATAATCTTGTAAATACATAGAACGGTGAAAAGCCATCTTTTGAAAATCCATCCCAGAGCAACACTAAGGGCCCTGAAGAGAATGTTGTGTTCCATCCTATAACCTCCCCTGTTTCTTTTGAACCTTTATTCTCTCAGTTACTGATTTCATGCACCTCACTTTATTGACAATCCTGTTAGATTTTTGAGGTAAGAAGAAGGGGTTGAGAGAGGACTTGGAGGAGAGTAGGAGAAGAGTAGAACTTAGAACATGATATGGAACGTAAACTTGGAAGAGTGCAGACATTTACCCAACCCGGAGAGAGGAGAAATTGTTCTCCAACTCTCATATTTCCATTAACATGTCTGCCCATTTATAGCAGAAAATACAACACAAAAACAGTATTTTTCACCTACTTTCAGTGATTTACAGTTACATGTTTCCCACAAAATCTATCCTAAGATTTAAATCAAGGACTGCAATACATAAACCAATATAAAAAAGTACATTGAAACACTTACATTGCTGCACTTTTGTTGACTAATTTGCAGCCTTCATTTGCATTTGCATTTCATTTCCTTCGATAATGCAGCAGTTTGCTGCATTTTTCTTTCCTCCATTGAAGTGGATTTATTGCTGCACATTTTGTCCCATAAATGCAGCTTCTCGCTGCACCATTTTTCTGTTTTGTGGTAGCAAGATCGCAGCTTTGATGCCACTGCTCCAACAAATCCAATCTCTGTGAAACTATAATGGCTCATCCTAAATCTAGTGAAAGGATTTTAGCACTGGATCAACTAATGTAGTCAATAGCACCCACTACAGTGATATAGCAGCCATACCTTAGCGCTTTGAAGCTCTGGCGCTATGACAATCTATAGCACGTCGGTTTTTCAAGAGCAGACGCGTAGGTCGCTATAGCGGCTGCTATTGATAGCAGATGGCGGTTGCTTTGTATGCTATCTGTTTAATTGTTTTAAAAGAGATTTCTTCTGTTTTCCAATAGCAGGCGCTTAGGTCGCTATAGCAGCCGATATCAATAGCGGATGAAGGTTGCTTCGTATGCTATCTGTTTAATTCTACTTCTTCCTTGTCTCCTCAGAGCTTCTCTTCCCTTTCTTGATTCTCAATCTGTTTTTAAAAATAGCAGCGCACTTCTTGTTTCTCTTGGTACTCTTTTAGATGTGCTCAGGCTACTTGCTTGGGTCGCTATAGTGGCCGCTATGACAGTGGATGGCGATCGCTTTATATGCTATCTGTTTAATTATTTTAAAAGACATCTTCTGTTTTTCAATAGCTGGCGCTTAGTTCGCTATAGCGGCCGCTTTGTATGCGCTGTTTAATTGTCTTTTTCAAAGGACTGCTTCTGTTTTTCAATGGCAAGCGCTTGGGTCGCTATAGCGGCTGCTTTGGACGCTTGTCTGTTTAATTGTTTTTAAATGCTCTATCTCTTTACTTCTTCTTCCTATCCTCCTCCTCAGAACTTCCTTTCCCTTTTCTGATTCTCAATTTCTGTTTCTAAATGTAGCAGCGTCCTTCCTGGTTCTCCCATTACCTACGGTGGCTATTGATAGCGGATAGCGTTCGCTTTGTATGCTATTTGTTTAACTGTTTTAAAAGACAGACTTCTTATTTTCTTTCTTCGTAGCAGCGTACTTGTTGGTTCTCATGTTACCTTATATAATTTGCTTCAATTTTTTTTTTTAATTCATATATAATTTGTTTGTTAAAATCAATACTTATTCCATGTTTTCCTTTTAAGGCAATGTTACAATACCAATGACACTTAAAATTATAAATTTATAATTATGTATATCATTAAATAAATATACGAGACATTAAATAAATATAATCAGATATTAAATAAGTTGATATATATAATATTAAGGATAGATTCTTAAATAAAATAAGTTAATTATATAATAATACATTACATTGTAAATTTACAATAATATAATATTGTAACTATAGTATTTTGTTTCTTTTATTGATTTCCTTATTAGGTCTATTATTCTATTAATTAAGGTTTTTTTTTTTTATAGAATATTAATTAAGGCTCTACTAAATAGGGTTGTTCTTATTAGTTTTAGTTTTGATTTTTAAAAATAAAATCATTAAAATTAACAATTTAAAATTAAAATTAACAATATAAAATTTTGAAATTAATGTTCAAAACTTTAAATTTAAATTTATAAAATATTTTAATTTTATTTTAGAATTTTTAAATATTAAAAATTAAAATAAAAGCTTAAAATTACATCCTAAATCTAAAATATATATTTTTTTGTTTTTCTATGGCCGCTGCCGCTATGCCATCGTAGCGGATGGCTCTCAATTTATACATATTAGCATTCTTGAACACTTTTATCGCCTCTACCTAACTAAATTATTCAAACCATGGTAAACCACCTAACATCCCTACTCTTCTTCACATTCTCTGCTTTATAAAAATAGTAGAGTTGAGCAAAAAAGGCTCACATTTATGAGTTACCACCCATAAGGCCAAAACCAACACTAAACCCAATCAATATTACACGGTAAAAACAAGTGTTTCACATCTTCCTCATTGTACCACATAATCCACATCGCCTAAGCGATGTCATTCTGAAAGTTGTCTCGGTAATTGTTCTCGTAACCGCCCCCTGAAAAATGGACCAGCACTGCTGCATTCTGAACTAATCTTTTTTATTGACGGGCAAAGCTGCCCTGAACCCATTCTCATAATTGTTCACTGTTAGAATATCAGCATATTTATGTTAGAATATTAGCATTCATATTTAGGATATTAGTATTCACATTGTATTAGTATATTTAT